CGTATATTCGAGTAAGTTTATAGATACTAGCTATAAGTTGTTTTATTTATATACCTGTATATACATATGTTAATAAACTATATTTATTTAGATGCACGGCTGATCGGAGACAACGTCGACTTAATGTACGGAGTTTAAGAAAGACGCTTTCGCATCCCGATTTAATTTTTCAAAATTTATTTTAAGTATAGGACTAAAATAAAAAAAAATATTTATTTTATATTTAAATCCAGAAAATTATTTAATAAAGTAATCATTTCCAATTTTGTAATACTCTATATTTAAATCAGCATTTACATTATTTAATATAATCATAGTAATTTAAGAGTATGCCAGTAAAACGTATTAAATATATTTTAGGCATTTTCGTTCGATAACCGTGTGTTTGTAATTAAATTTACACAATAAAAAAAATTTACTTGAAAATATTTTTATTTATTAACAATATTTGTGGTGGTGTAAAAGTATAATACAAAACTTTAATAATTAAAATTTACCTTAACTTTGAAGTTGATTTAATCTTTGACATGTTGCTTTGCCCACTTCCTGTATATTCTCCATTTGCAATAAGTCTCGTTCACCATATTTCCAAGATTCCTCGTAGGCGTAAAGTATGCTGGTGTCGTATATCATAATGTTGCATTTAGCTAATGCTAAAATGCAGTTGCGTAAACGAGAAATTGTACGCAAATCTGATAGCGGTGTGATTTCACTTAGATTTTGTGTAAAACCACCATCGCCACCATCTTGAATAATTGATGTGGGTTGTATCCATATGTAGCCATTATTGCCCAATATAATTGATGCACCACATGATAAGTTGTGAAAATGTGCTTTACATCTTTTCACCAAAGATGGATACACTTTAACAAGCACTCCTTGAGATAGTTTTCCATATTTCAAAGAACGAGTATATAATGAAAGTGAACCTTCTTCAAAAATATTTTGTACTTCTGCTGAAACTAAATCGCCTTCTTGTAAATATTTTCTCATCATATGTTCATCTTCTGCTGAACGTCGACGCAATTCACCACCTGGTAGATTGACTGATGATATCAATAGAACAGAATCGACACTTGAGTTGGTGTCCAATTTCCAACGTTTTTGTTGTACTTCAGTTACTCGTGCTACCACAACGTCACCAATTTCACCAACATATCTGGATTTTCGTGGTCTAATAGAAATTAATCTATTAACTCGCTCTAAAACACCTGCTACTGATGATTTTATATCGTTCTCCTCATTGTATGTGCCATGTCCTCTCATAAATCCAGACTCAGATACAACAATCTCACCAGGTGTATATATGCGTGGAACTTTTCCAGTACGTTTTTTAGTTTTTGATTCATCACAAACATCAATTGCTAAACGTATTATTACATTACTACCCTCTTCCATTCTGAATTAAATCAAATATCAGATAAACAAACGTGACATATAACTACACACGTTCCCGGCTGTATTAGGTATGTTCAATGGAGAACAATAATAATGTATATAATTCACAATAATTAAATACTGTACTCTTATTAGATCTGTTTGAGTAAAAAAATAGTAAAAGTTATTTGAATTATATTACTTTCCGCTTCAGTATGCAATAAATTATAAAGTAAAAAGTTGTAATAGCGAACAAAATTGATTTGAATTTTAATTGTAAAATTATGACTATTTATAAGTAATAAAGTGAAGAAGACTTTATCTAATATGACTTGTCTCTAATATGATGACAAGCGTAAACTATGTTTTTTGGGATTTATTTGTGTTGAAATAAAAATTGATAGCTAAAATTTCATAATTAACATAAAACAACACTAACCTAATATGTTATATATATCAGAAAAGTATATCGGAAAATTGTCAGAAAAGTTTAAAGTATAGTGTCTGATCGTATCTCATACTTGATTTTAGAATTACACTCGTAAATAAAAATGTTAAACATTACAGTAATATTTTGTTTCAGATTATACGAATGACAAATATTTTGAATTGGTCTGAGTTGACTCTTCGTTCTCCATTACTACTTAGCAACAACATCTTTTTCACTCATATACAATTTTGACTTTAAGTGTGTTTTTGGCTTGATTACTAGAATAGGGCATCAGTATTCAATTTATCCATTTAGCATTCTTTAGAGGTAATTTTAGTAGGTTCAAGTCCGAAAAAATATATAGTACAATTGATATTTGATTACTGTTTTATTCTCATGAAAACATTTTAGATTGCACCAAAAAATCATGAATGAACGAAAGTTCATTTTTATTAATTATTTATTATTTCTTAATTTGAAGAAATGAAAAAATGCATACATAGCCTCTTAGAATATGCATACAAATATACGGTTATCATTAAAATTTAGTTAAATTTATTTAATAAATTTAATAACAAAACATTAGCTACGGTTATAATGTTGTTATTATATTTAAATAACCAAATTTTTTTGAAATACGGTCTTTGATTAAGTAAGAAAGAAATTCGTTTCATATCGTTAATTTATCTTTCCACTATTGGTTACAGCTCGTGCAATATGCTCATATATTTTATCGTGAGTGGATTTTCGAATCTCAGTCATATGATCAATTAAATTCTCACTTACACTGTCATGCAGCATATTTGAAAAAAGCTCTTTTATGAAATAATTAGCTGTTTGTGTTTTAAATTTTGAACAAAAGCTACCTTTTGCTACCTTTTGTTGTTACATGCACATGAAATCTATTGTGAATTGCCACAGCTTTTGTTTGTATCTTTGATTTCACTAAATGATATTCAGCGACGAGTGGGGAAAAGTGAAATTACAGGTTTATATTTTAAATTTAATTAGCATCAATAAGTTGATTACGAGTTAAAACGTAAAATATTTTATATTTGCAGTCTACCTGAAACATCACGGTTTTTAGTGAAAAATATTTCGAAAAACGTATTTCAATATGAAGCACAATAAATTATATTGTGTTTTGTTTGCTTTGTGCTTAGTGACGCATAGTATTGTTTTGGCAAGTGCCAGCCGTACAAAAGGCAGTAATCGCAAAACATCATCTAATAGTCATGTGACGAGACCAACTCACTCTACAAACACTGGCAATTCTCATTCAGATTTGGCAAAATTAAGTTATTCGAATTATAACTCACAACCAAATCGACCAGCAAACACAGGCACAGCTTCTCATACTCCTGCACCAATTGGTTGGAATGTACCAAATAAACAAGGACCGCCACCAGCGTATTCAGCTAATAATCCTGTTGGAGGAGCAAAAACGAATATACATGAGGCACCACCTAATTACGGAGCAAGTGGAACAAACGTACATACACCAATAACTGCTACAAATGCACATAGTGTACAATCCAGTTATCCAGGACAGCATGGAGCTAGCTACCCAGTACAGCAAGGAGCTACTTATCATAGTCCTGGATCTCTTCCTCCTGGTGCAACTTATTATCCTGGTGGACATGTGCCACAAGGTGTGCCTGCTGGTTACCCAGCAGGTTCAGCATATCCTGGAGGTCATATGCCAGTAGGTGGTGGTAGTTATTATCCTGCCGGTGGACACGTACCTCAAGGCGCAACATACTATCCAGCTGGTGGTGTGCCAGCTGGTGCAACTTATATACCAGCAGGTGCATCTCTACCACCGGGTGCTACTTACTACCCACAACAGCCGCAATCATCATCTTCTGGTTTAGGTTTTGGTAAGTAAAAGTTTTATATGAAAAAGATAAAAATGGTATAACATAATATGTTTATAGGTTCAGGTTTAGCCGCAGGTGCTATTGGAGGAGCTATACTTGGTCATGTTTTAACTCCAACTGAAACCAGAGTTGTAGAACATGCACCAGCTCAGAGTGGAAGTGCTGGTGGCGATAGTAAAATAATTATTATAAATA